AGAGAGTTGGGAAATAGTGCAGTCGGGCTCCACTTTTCACGGGGAGGGCAGGAAACAGCTTGAGGTGAGGGTTCCTTCAAGCCCAGGTTTAAGCCTCGAGAAGCAGGGCCTCTGTGGCTATCTGGGCAGGAGTGCGGCAGCAAGGGCAGAGGTGCCAGGCAGGAGCAGACCAGGCCAGCTTGCACAGAGGTCCTCTTACCGGGCTTGGGGTGTTGGAGTCTTCTTCTAGAGATGGTTTCTAGGTTCTTTCTGTCCCAAACAAAGAAGTGGTCAAGGCAAGTGGTAAAGGAACTGAAGTTTTACAATATTAAAGGTCTGAGAAGAAAGGAAGGATGCTCTTCAGTGTGCATGCAGCCAATTAAAAGTAGGGAAAGAAACACCCACCTCAGGGTGAGAGCAGACCACTGTGGAAGAGACCATAGTGGCCAGGAAATTTTATTATATTGTGGATGCTGGACTCTTCTCAGGTATATGATTTACAAACGTCTGCTCCTATTTTGTAGGCTGTCCTCTCACTTTCTTAATAGAAGTCCTACGATGCATAAAAGTTTTAATTTTGAAAAAATTCAGTGTATCTACTTTCTCTTTAGTTGCTTATGTCTTTGGTGTCATATTGTTGGTTGCGTATCCAAGGTCACAAAGATTTAAGCCCATGTTTTCTTTAAAAGTTTTAAAAATTTGGTTCTTCCATTCAGGTCAGTGAGCTAATTTTTCCATATGGTGTGAGGCTGGGGTCCAAATTCACTCAGTTGCCTGTGGATATCCTATTTTCCAATTGTCATTTGTTGAAAGACTCTTCTTTCCCCCCATGGCATGGTCTTGACATCTTTGTCAAAAATCAATTAACCATATGTGTGTGAGTGTATTTCTGTGTATTTCTAGACTCTCAATTCTATCCCACTGATCTCTTCATTTATCCTTACGCCAGTACTATGTCATCTTGATTGCTCTATACTAGGCTTTATAATCAGCAAGTCTGAGGCTCCAACTTTGTTCTTCTTTAAGATTACTTTGGCTATTCTGGATCCCTTGTATTTCCATATAAATTTTAGGATCCACTTGTCCATTTCTGCAAAAATGGCAGTTGGAATTACGCCAGCCAGTTTTTGAAGATGTGGTATAATTTGGGGCTATTTATTTGCAACTCTTGTTATAGAGTCCAAAACTCAAGAAATTGGAGTATTTCAGGGCACTTGAACTTGGGTATTACCCTCATCTCCTCAAACCACCCTCGCACACATTGAAAAGCATGATAGATTATCAATGCAGAAATTTAAACCTGTGTTCTGTTTCATAAGAGCATCTTCTCTCCCCTCTGTCCGGCTGTCCTTGTCTGGCTTAGACACCAGAAGAACCCTGAGCCCTGGCCCCATAGAAAGCTGGAGGCCTCTGGAGTTTGCTTTCTTCTGCGGCCCTCCAGGCCCCATGGGCTCTCGTGCCTTCAGCCAGGGCTCTGGACTCTGACTCCCACATCCTCGTGCATGGGGGACAGGCGACTCCTCCCTCTGCACAGCCCTGTGTGTCACCGGAGGGAACAGCACTGAGAGGACCCTGGGCCAGTCTCTGGTGTCAAAGCCACACATAGCTAAGCTCTCGAATCAATAACACGAAAGAGCAGGGGGAAGAGTTTTAATCTCATGAAAACTAAATGTCGCCACATCGTAATCTCTATGGTTCCTGCTGGCTCTCACAGTCCTGTCTCCCTTCGGACCACGCAGGAGGCACTGCTGTCCTTGCCTAGCGCAGAGGCTTCATCCTGTTGGGTACGAGCTCTGTAACAAACACCGCTGAATCTGAGCTCAGATTCCTGGCTCCTGAGTGATCAAGTCCTCTGATGAAGGGGATCGAAACCCATTGGGGTCCCTGCCTGGGCCCCACGCCTCGGAGGGAATGGCGCCCCTCGCATGTGTGTGAGCTCCGTGACAAGTCCCCGGCTCTGGCTTGTGCTGCGAAGGGCAATCCAGCCGCTGGACAGCGTGCAGCCTCCCTGGGAACCCTAGCTCACCAGGCCGAGTCAGGCAGTGGTAGCGGCAGGTATGTCAGGGATGGTAGGTAACCTGAGTAAACAGATCACAGGGGAAAGACCACCAGCTGAGGAAGAAAGAGGGACACAGGATGCCCTCCACCTCGCGGAGGCCCAGCCCCCAGCAGGGACTAAGTCTCTGACTGCAGCTGTCACGTCCAGCTCCTCAAACTCTGCCACTCAAGCGGGACAGAGGAGCATGCGTGTGAACCCAGTGACATTGGAGGCCTTTATCTTCTTCAAATCATTGCTTTATTTCTTAAAAATGAATGGCAGGGTGGCTTTTACCCAAGAATAGATCTATGCCTAGTTAAAAAAAAAAAAAAAAAAAGTTCCCCCTGCTAAATTGATGTCACCCACCAGGCGCATTCCAGCCCCGGCTGGAGAAAAGTTTGTCCGGTTCCTGATTTTGCGAGCGAGGGGTATGCAGTCCAGAGGAGGAAACGGCCTTTCTTCTTCGCATCCTGCTGTTTTCTCACCTGAAAAAATGGCTCTCGTGGGTACTCACGCCTAGCAGTGTAAATTAAGAGCCTGGAGGTGCACAGCGCCCTGGCCCTGCGCAAGGCGAGGAAGGCAAGGCCCGGGCGATCGGCCCCGCCTCCGCGCCTCGCTCCCCACGCCCCTTCCTCCTGGGAGCTGCGGATCCGCAGCCGCCGCCGGAAGCCGGGCCGCGTCCTCGGCCCCGGGG